TATATATATATATATATATATATATGTATATACTTATGTATATATATGTATATATATATTGCATCTATTGCGGGGCTTCTGGGTAGGGCATATAAATAGATAGGGGATTGGCATGCCTCCGATAATTCGTCTTAGACAGTCTAAAAGAGTGTATGTCTGCCTGCGCATATCTGTGAGTGTGCGTGTGCGTGTGTGTGTGCGTATGCTGTCCTCCTTTTATTTGCACTTTGGTTTCATACACATTTTAAACACACTTTGAGTTCGCCTTTTTTATTAACTATAATTTTATCCTATTTTGGGCTTCTCATTTACGTTTCTTTCCATTTGACTTACAAACAATTAAAACGAACAACAACTGCACAACCGCACACCTGCAACGCCTGCCAATACTAACAAACTCGCACCGCACGACACGCAGACCATTCAGTTGGCATCGCCTGTAGCGGCCGATGTGCACCGCCTGCAGAGCTCCCAGTCGGCCAGCGACCTGTCGCGGGATCAGGATATGCTGGACGCCAGCGAACTCCTGCAGCGCTCCAGTTCGCTGAACGGTATTGAGAGCTATGCTGAGCAGCGTGTACTCATCACAGAGCTGCACGAGGAGGAACTGAGTGGCACGGAGGCGGGTGCTGCCCGCCTGCGCGATCTGCCGGTGCGAAAGACGCGCTCGAATCGCACAGTCCCGGCCAACGGTGCAGGCTCTGCGGCTCCAGCTTCGTCGAAGCGCACCACACGTGGCTCCTCAAAGGCCAAGACAGCCGATTTGCCGTCGGGCGATGGGGCTGTGCGCGGACGCCGCAAGCTGCGCGATGCCACACCCGATGTGGACGTCGAGGGAGATTAGCAGACTGGAAGATTAGGAGCAGCTCGCATATTAATATACGCCAAGCAAATCGCATGATACTCAGCAAAGAGCACAAGATTAAGCGAATTTTCAATTGCTTTGCACACTGTGAGAGGATGTCGTCAGCCGCCGTCGTCATATTATTTAAAACAAATCTTTATTATGCATATTTGTAGTCGGTCTAGTTTGTAATTAATTGATCTAATTGATAAACTCGCAAAATGATGCCAAGCCAAATCCTTTGCTCTCCCTCTCTCTCTCTCTTCCTCTATCTTCCTCCATCAAGGGCGGCGGCAATCTGGTACAGACCATCAAGCGTAGCTACAGCCTCAGCGATCTCAGTGAGCCGGATGTCCATCGGACCCAGGACGAGCTGGACGATGTCTTGATGACATCGGCGTCATCGGTAATGATGCGTCCTCAGCCTGCGCGGCTCCTACGGCAGCGCCACCAGACGCCAGTGGGCCGCTCCGCAAGTGGCACGCGCCACTCGACGGGCATGTACTTCACCGAGGTGGACGTGAGCGCCGGCTCCGCGGCGGCGGGCAAGCATGCTGGTGATTTCAAGTGAGTTTTGAGCAGCCCACGATTCTGATCGACTGCGCCCACACTTAACACGCTTCTATGCACATCCATTCAGCTACAATATACGCAGCACGGATGACATCAGCTCGGGCTACTCCAGTGCCGAGCCGGTTAGCGCTCCACTCGTCGCCGGGCTGAGTCGCACCTCATCCATGACAAATGCTTCCAAGGCGCGTGTGAAGTCCAAACGCAACGAGGTAAGAATTTAGTTGAATTTACTTTGTAAACCGACTTGTTCAAGAGATTTGTATACTCAGTCACAAAAGTTAAATGGTGTAGGGGTTTTGTGAATGTCCGTCTTGAGCGTGTCTGTCCATATGATTGAATTTTGTTGCCGCTATTGAAGCTAGGGACTTGATATCTGCAACACATACTCATGAATATATCCGATTTATAAAATGTTAATGTAAATGTTAGTCTTCCAGAATGAGGAGTCTACGGCCCCTAGGGCCGTAGCAATCGGTATTTAGAGTGCCAAAATTGGGATATTTACATACATATATGCGTGAGCGTGTATGTATTTGTATATACAGTCTGTCAAGAATGAGTTGGCACACTGAAAAAAATGTAGTTTATTGACCTGGGATGCAAATATATATAAGTCATTAATGCATAAAAACAATTTTTTTCAAATAGGAATTATTATTTTACTAATTTAAATATAAAAAACGAAAACATAACATTCAATATGTAAAAAATTAATCAACAAAAACAAAAATCACTCAAAAATATCAGTGTCAAAAAGGTGTTGGCACCGAGCGTTTTGCACATCTGCTTTATTATTATTATTATTATTATTTTTTTTTTTTTTACTGATATCTGTTGATATTTTATACATCTATGTATGAAATAGATTCACTGATGAAGCGCCATCTAGCAGAACTAAACAAATCTAACTGCTCATGTGGTACTAGAAGTTTGAATATACATAGTATGTGTGCACACGTATAGGAAAACTGTTTTAGCTGCTGCACGGGCGTTTGTTAATTGGCCAATAATTTTGCTATTTTTTAACGTCGATTGATTTAACCGAATTTAATGAAACTTTCAGCATGTGATCTACATATTCTATTATTTACATTTAAAATTTGGCGACCTGAAAGTTTCATGAGCATAGCTCATCAACAAGAAAAGTTATTAAGCAATTAAGTTTCCATAGTAAGCCCACACTGCAGCCAATGCGGCATCCCTATGTGTGTCTGTGTATGTGTGTTTGTGTAAGCGTAAAGACGCAAAGAATTATTAAAATAGCAATTATTAGAAGGGTTCATGAGATTTCGAAGTCGAGCAGCCTCGACTAGAGCTTACTTACTTGTTATACCCTGCACCCATCGAAAATGGAATATCAGGGAATAATGGTTTTGTTGAAATGTATGTAAAAGTCAGAAGGAGGCGTGGCCCACAAAGTTGGCAATACTATGAGAATTCAATTGTTGAATAATTTAATTTCTAGATGAACAATCTTAATGAAACTTTCAGAACGTAATCATAATGTTTAAATGTATGTACTGAAGTACAAATCTCTATTATTTGAAATACGCCTTTTACAAATATGAGGGTAACGAGGTGGACAAAGAAGTGAGGGATAAATTTTAATAAATTTTATAAAATGCATCTTAATATACATTTTAAATTTGAAGACTCTAGCTTTAAAGATGTGGGAAATAAAATTTTATAACTGCTTTTCGATAATGATTTTATCGATAAAAAATAACGTTGTACTGTGATACGGATATTATGAAAAAAAGGTCGTCTCTAGCTCTTATAACTTCTGAGATCGCCGCGTTCAAGCATGCGGACAGACAGACGGACAGGGCTGTATCGACTCAGCTCTTGGCCCTGTTCAAGAATATATGCACTATGTGGGGTCTGCCACGCCTCCTTCTGTCTGTTACATACATTTCAACAAAACCATTATACCCTGATTTCCCATTTTCAATGAGTTCAGCGTATAAAACGGTTAAATTGTATGAGATTGCTTTCGATAGTTGAATGCAAGCAAAAGCCACACTTATTTGACTTATATAGTTGCCTAATAGTTATTATTATAATTCGATTAGCTAATTCTGGAAGAAATGCGCTCTGAGGTATATTTGGAAAATGAGCGTTCCTTTGAATTGATGAGAGCACAGCAATCCAAAGAAGTTCAGATGCAAAAGCAATTTAAGATTGTGGAGAGCGAAGAAAAGATTGCCAAACCCACTGAGGCGAAGAAGGAGATGGAGGTGGAGGAGGTGGGAGCGGTCGTAGAAGTAGATGAGGATAGGTTCTACGAGGCTATGGATGTCATGGAGGGCGAGGAACTGTCCATAGCAACGAATAAGGATGCAACAAATAAGAAACATATGGAAACTGAGCGGCTTAGCAATAACGAATCCTTTAAGGAAGCGCCCGCTGAAAAGGAAATCAATGTGGGCGACTATATGAGTGAATCCGTTGAAATAGAGGACTACAAAGCTCTTGTGGATCCTTTTTTATTAGTAGTCACTGAATCTAGTTTTGATGTGGCCGTGAGTGCAGGAGCCTCAAATACAGAGCAGCCAGTTTCTCCGCGAGAGTTGCTCGCCACGCTGGAGGAGATCAAGCACAGTTTTCGCGCCCAGCTAGAGCCGGAGACGACTCCGCTACGACCCAAGGCTCAGCATACCAAGGGACGTGCACCAGCGCCGCCTTTGCCGCCTCGCAGGGACTCCCGTGCAGCGGACAGCGTGAGCCTCCACTCCACGCAGTCGCTGTCTCAACTGGAGCGTACCAAGTCCTCAGGTATCGGCCATCTATTAAAGAGCTTCAAAGATAATATGCTGCGCAAAGCTAATCAGCAAGCCGATGAGGAGCCCAGCGTCAACGGCGGCTCAGCTAAAGAAACGTCTATTTGATGTAAGCCGTTGGCCAAACACAAACCCGAACTCATCCGCTCGTCTCAGCTACCCATTACTACTCAAACTCCCCTCGCTGTGCACTGTACAGAATCTTGTTTGTGTGTTGCATTTACTAACAAATCTTTTGCATTTCAGCATGTGCTCGACTGTCATATGATAATGCCTATATCTTATATCATATGTCTGATCTGGTCTCTTTCCAGGACAAGTCCATGTCCGCTAGTTGTACTACTTTGCCCCGTAGCAGCAGCCGCAAGGCGGATAAATCTCAGTCAACAAATGCTTCAAGCCAAGCCAAAGCGCGCAAGTCGGAGAAGTGAGGCGCGATCTACCAAACCTAAAATAAATATATACATACATATATAAATATAGAAATATATATATATATATAATATTTCTCTTAATTCCTTAATGCAATGTGTTTTAAAAAGTTGCTCGGTGCTCAAATTTAGCCGATATAGAAGGTCGACAGCAAAGGATAAGCATAATGGAAAAGAATGATACTAAAGTAAACCTCATCATTAGATTGAAATTGTAACTGAATAATGATCGAGCAGGTGATTGACATTATTATAAAGATATTATGATATAATTCCTTACCTTTACCCATTGCTCCTTGGCAAGCTTAACTAGCCGATGTATATGTATATTCATTTACATACATGTGCGATTGCCCTACGTGTCCTACAGCCAGCTCCTGTCACTACAAATTAGTGGGGAAAATAATATCATCTATCTTTCTAGTTTTCAATGCATTGTAACTGATAATTAAATAAACTCAACTATACATATGAAAATTAAATTTAAATATGTAATTGTGTGTAATTGTAGGATTGCAATGCATTGCAATGCGTTGCAGGTCTATCAAATTAAATCGAGTTGACCAGTATTATTGTCTCTCTTTAAATATTTAAGCATAACTCAAATTTCATAATGTATATACATATGCGGAATATATGCATGTATGTATGTACATATGTATGTATATATTTAATGTAGGCTACTCTCCTAGTTTAGAAAGAAATCAAATTATCGAATGCTTGAAATATTAAATGGTTCGATATTTTTTAGAGAAAGTAAATAAGACTTCGGTATATAAAAGGTTTTAATTCAACGGCTGATACTTTACATATTCGTAATGTATGTTCAAATTAATCTTTGAAAAGAACTCATTTATACGGGTTTGCTTCGAAGACTTTTCAATCATTTTTTAATGCTGTGTCATCAGTTCATTATGGTTGCAACATCGCTTTTTTCTCACCTCCTACTTTTTAAATTAATTTTTTCTTTTCAGCAATCATCAAACTTTTATTTATTTTAGGAGTCATATTTGTATACCCTGAACCCATTGAAAATGGGTCGACATGGCGTTGTCCGCTCGTCGCCCTGATCAAGAATATATATACTTCGTGGGGTCTACCACGCCTCTTTCTGCCTGTTACATACATTTTAACAAAACCATCATACCCTGATTTCCCATTTTCAATGGGCTTAGGGTATAAAAAAAGCCGAACATTAGGGAAAAAAATCTGCCAAAAAAAATATGTTTCTTGCTTTGATTTGATTGATATAGAGATATTAAATATATGTATAGTTTTATAAAATATTTGTTTTACCTAACGCTTGAGATTGAGTTAAGCATCACAGTATTGACGGATTGGCAAAAAATCAATGCAAAAGGGCCAAGTTCCTAAGTTTCTTATTTCCTCTCGAATCCTTGGAAACACATCTCTCAACCCAAAACTTTGTAGCGTTTTGAGTATTTTTCAACTGAACCGGGTGAATATTCTTTTATTGATGTTCAAAACTTTCAATGCTCTTTGTATAGAATAACTAGTATAGGAACGACACTATTTTTGTTTACTCAAAAAATAGATATGTATATATGAAAACGAATCAACATTTTTCCCTATTTGAAATTTTGTCGGCAACCTTTAACACATAAATTCAAGTACTGCACGCTATCAAATAAGTTGCATACATTCTTTTATATTGCTTTATAAGGTAGCTCTGTTAAAAAATGTTTACGTTTCATTTACATAGAATCAAAAAGTTCGATATTATTGTTCACAATAAGTTATACTGAATTAAATATAAATCATATTCTAGTTTAGTTAGTTCCATTTTATTATTTATTATTGTTCATTGAAAATTGAACTACTGAACTATTTATATTTAATTAAACTACAATATACAAAACTTCATTCTACTACGAGTTATCCCTACAAAATACGAAAATTTCCTCAGGAAATAAAAAAACAGAAACAAAGCAACAATGTTTTTTTTTCTTGTATCATTAAAATAGAAATATACCAAAATACCGCACACACATATGTATGTATGTATGTGCACATATACATACATACATATGTATGTACATTCATCACTCATTTTGTGATTTCATTCCAGTTTCGATTCCAGTCCCTTGTAATCGTGAGTTCACTCCTGCAATGGCAGCAGATTCGCATGCACTCATACGCAGACAGCCTCACACAAATCATGCACAACTACAGTGCATATATGTATGTATGTATGTATGTATGTACATCAATCAAGTCTGCAGTTTGGAGAGTGCCCATCGAAGTTTTGTTTAATTCCTCATGAAGCTCGTCGTAAGAGCTGCACATGCGCAGCAGCTGATGCGAATGCTGACCTTGACCCTCAATCAGCAGCGAGAGAGCGCAGACAAAACGGTTGAGCACGGTGCGCATGCAGCCAGTCGGCTGTAACTTGTTGCCAAGTGCAGCAGCGAAGACCACGCAGTCAAGTTGAAGTTATGCCCTCTCCCCAACAGCCCTCCGCCATAGGCACTGCCAGCTCACCGTCGCCATACATATGTACATGCGAATGTGTGTGTGTCGCTTGCAAGTTTTCACCATTAGCAGCGTAGTGCGACGACTGTACTTTGTTCAAAGAAGCAGCACATATGTACATACATACATACGTATGCATGTGTATACATAAATATGTACATATGCCCAAACATATACATACATACATATGTACGTATTTACGTGTACGTGTGTGTGACGATATACATACATACACACACATACTTGTAGGTCTCAGTGCATAAGGAAGCAAAGCAGGCAACGCACCAACACAAACACACACACGTACACGGCACGCACATGTACACGGTAATAAGCTAGAAACAGTGGCAAAATTTTTGCTTTACGGCGCCTCCACCAAGCTGACTCAGTTACAAAGAGACTGAGAGTGAGCCATCAGCTGCCGTGCCATGTGTTCGCTCAAAAATCAGGGGCAGCTGCTCTTGCTTTGCTGCTGCATTTGCCGGCTTAGAGAACCAGAACTGGTATCAAAACTGGTTCGAAGGGGAAGATCGGGAACCGCGGATCAAAATAACGAAAGAAACAGCGGGCGATCTGCAAAAATAAAAAAGTTTCGACCCAAGTGAAACACAAATTTGTATTGTGGGGTTATTATTATTATTTCTTTTGTCTCAAATCAGCAGCTCCAGCATTTTAATTTACAATTAAAAAACAATCACAGTGATATTTGAATTTTTATCATAATCATTATCTTTGTAGTTCGCCTTGTTTTTTTGTCTTGCTCAAGTGAAAAGGTTGTTCTGCTAGCTCATCTTCTTCCTCATTCTCGTGTCGCTTAATGCCCATTTTCTTCTTGTCATCTACCATCTGCCATTGTCAGTTGTTGTTTTTGCTGTTAGTGTTGCCAGCTACTATAGCTAACCCGCTAGAGATCTTGCTTGTTGATGTGATAGCTGAAGTGCAAAAGCTCGCCAGCCGCAGCGCTGTAACATTCGTTTCTCCCTTTCGCCTCTTTTTTCGCTCCTACTTCAATTTGTTGTTATTTATCTTCTGCATGTTGGAACTTCTAATAGGATACTTTGTAGTATATATATGTACATAAGTATGTTTATATATATTTATTTTTCGAGTTTTTTTTTTTTTTTTTAAGGTAAATTATATATTCTTATATAGTTTTCTTTCCATTCGTTATAATTGTAATTAGTAAATTCAAACACGTTTGCAGCATAATAGTAATAATAATATAGTTTTGTTGTTGGTATTGTGGTAGTAGCTACTAAAATACAACGACGTCTGTTTCTTCTTCATCTTTTGCTGCCTTCCAGCGCCATTAGCGCCATCGTTGTGTTCTCCTCTATCGTCCATTGTGCTTTCTTCTTGTTGTTGCTTGTGTATACAACGTACTGTTCTTTAACGACTGCAGGCTCAGAGCTTTGGAATTAGAGATGTGCTGCTTAGATGACGGTTAGATGTGTGTGGGTATGGATGTGATTCTGTGAGGGTGTGTGTATGTGTGTGTTTGGGGTTGATTTGATGTCTGTTGATCTTGACTCGGTTTTACTGATTGGGCGCTTCTTCGGTTTTGCGTTTTGCTGTTTTGTTGTTATTGGCTGGCAATTGATTTTTCCATTAATTATTTTTTTCTTTTCATTTTTTTTTATTTGACAAAACATTTTCGTTGATTTCTCAGAGAGTTCTCACTCCGCTCTCCTCTAGTTCCGTCCACCCTTCTCGTCGCATTCACGTCTCAGATGACCGCTCTTGCCGCATCCGTAGCAAGTCTTTGATGTCTCCGGGCAGTTCTTAGAGATGTGTCCGGTGCGGTTGCACTTATAGCATGAAACGTTTGCTGGCCCGTTGCCGCGCTCATTAACCGCATCGGGGCAGTTGCGCACCCAATGTCCGGGCTTGTTGCACCTGTAGCACGTCGGATTGTCGGCTTGAGTGCAGTCCTTAGAAATGTGGCCTACGCCGTTGCACCGATAGCAGCGCTCCGCCTCTTCGGGGCACGCGCGTGCAAAGTGCCCAAATTGATTGCATTTGTAGCACTTTTCACGATTACGACGCATGCCGCCGCCACCGCCATCACGCATGCCACCGCCGCCACCGGGTCCGCCGCCTCCTGGTCCTCCGCCGAGACTGCAGTCTCGGGCAAAGTGACCCGGCCGGTTGCACTTGTAGCACGTGGCAGACATCGACATTGTACTGTACTTGAGTTAATTAGAAAAACGGTGCAGAAATGTTTTAACCACACGTTTCGTATAGTCCGACAATCACACACGAGCTGAGCTACTACTGCCTCCACGAGCAAAACTGACTTGCGTTAAATGCAATTAAACAAAACTACAGGATATGCGAAAATCGCTCGCCGTAGTTTTTTCGACGCCAAAAATTAAAATGGCTACCACGCAAAACTAGTACAATGGTATCGCCAGTAATTTGGGTATCGAGTATAGAAAAACGCCGCTGAGCAGTCACAGAGGTACGTGCACACACAGGGATGCTTTGATTATACAATTGCAACACTGCAACTCCACGCGGTATACATTGGTACAAAATCGTCGTAATCAGCTGCCAAATGGATTTTGCACACACCAGCCCACACAACTTAATATATAGTAGACCAAACTAAACCGATTTAAATCGAAAATGCTACTATGTTTTTGAGATGACATTCAACTGAACTTAATCTGAACAAGTGTCGCATACTATGAGTTAATTACAGTATAAACAGTCTAGAGTTCGCTCTCAATCAAGGTTATTTTATGTGTTATTTGTTCGCTTGCACCACTGTTCACAGCTCAGTGTGCTGCCAGACTTGTAGCGGGCAGCCTTGCCACACTCACGAATACGACGAGTTAGCAGCCCAAAAAATATTACAGCTGTGCAATGTATTTTTATGTGATTTTACCAACAATAAAGTAACGCTAGTTATGTATGCAAAATGTTATTTGTTCTGGTAGCGATTGCCATTCTGAGCCAATGTACAGCCACGTCCACCATCAACATGCCCGTAACCACACAGGACATCATTGCCGGTGACGTGTTCTTCGAAATCATTTCGCCGCAAGATCTGGAATACACTTACCGCCTGCGGCCGGCTAAGGACTTCGGTGCCTCATTCAATCAGAAACTGGAAGGTGTACCCTTGGTACTGGCCGATCCGCCTGAGGCTTGCCAACCGCTTCGCAATGGGAGAGAGATGCATGGCAGCATTGCTCTCATGGATAGGGGGCAAGTATTATTATTATCACTTAGTATCAAATTGTGGAACTATTTTTAATCTATCGGGCGTTATCTATGCGACAGCGAGTGCTCGTTCCTTACCAAAACACTGCATGCCGAGGCCGCCGGCGCCATCGGTGCCATTATCACCGAATATAATTCGAAATCGCCAGAATTCGAGCTATACATTGAGATGATTCACGATAAGACGAACCGTGACACTAAGATTCCAGCTGGCTTTTTGTTGGGAAAGAACGGCATGATCATACGCAGCACGCTGCTCCGTCTGAAGCGCTTCCATGCGCTAATCAATATACCTGTCAACTTGACCTTCACCCCGCCATCCAAAATCAATCATCCCCCCTGGCTGGGCTGGTGACTCTGAAATATGCGAAATTGGCCTCTACCAAAAACCACAACTGAAACTGACAAAAATAAAAAAAAAAAAAAAAAACAAAAACAAAAGCAAATCTGAAACCAAAGTGCATACTTAGTCAAGATACCTATTATACGCGTAAGCTAATTCGCTGGGCTGCAATTCAATAGAATTTATTCTATAAAAAGATTTCGGAATTTGCTCTGGAGTTTAACCACAGTATTTCAAGCATTGCTGTACAATTTTTAGTTTATTTAGTGAATGAATGAAATAAGTCAATGTTTAGCTGAATTTATATGATTTCAATTAAAATTTGTATTGTACAAAATATTTAATCCCTTTTTAAGTCCAAAATCAAAATTGATCATCTTTAAAATATCAAATGGGTAAATAATTTAAATTATATTAATTACATATTCTGAAATTTAAAACTATTTGGTGATATTTTAAAATATAACTTAATCTAAAATATCAACTACAACAGATTAAAAGCGTATCGTGATTTTTGTGAAGGCTTTATAAATAATTCTTGACATTTGTTAAAGCAATTTATGAAACTTTTTTTTAAGATAAAGATCTTAACTGCAAATGTACTGAAATTTTTTTTAATGTATATATACAAATTAAAACAATTTTTTAAGTTTAAGATAAATTGTTATTTTGTTTCTCCAGAAAATGTTTAAGCTTTCGCAGTCACATGAAAGTCTTGTAACACTTTGAACGAAGATTTTTTTTGTTTTGATTACAGCCCAAAGCTTTTTATAAGCCAGTTAAAGATACTTACAGTTATTCATTCGTTTATAAAATAGTTTATTTTTATTTTTGAGCAACTATATTTGTGAAACTGGGTTTGCAGCCCAGACTAAATGAACAAGAAATTTAATGAATAATAACTTAAAGGAAACTGAATTTAAGTAGTTAAATTTTAAGCAAAAGCAATCGCATAACAAAAGTCATAAGAAACAAGGTGAGATGAGCCCAAGCGTAATTTGTAAATAAAGTAATTAACTAAGTTCAAGACAGTTTAATCTTAAATCTATGCTACGCGTAAACCATGATTAATGCTAAATTCCATTACATTTATAAATATATTTGATATATTCGATATTGGAATTATTAATATACTAACGGTTCACTGTATCAGAATTTGCCCAAGACGCTTAGATTGAGGCACATGCCCAGGGTGAGGACCACGATGGTCACCACGAGTATTGCGAAGCACAGATAGTTGGACTGGATGGGCATGCGGAAGAGCTTGGCGGACATGTCTAACGAGGAGGCGAACAACAACGTCGAGTTGAGATCCTCAGCGGAGGTATTGTGATATACAAAGGGACGGACCCGGATTTGGTGTCCGTTTGCTTGGGCGTTCTGGCAGACGCGCGTCACGGATCCGGCAACAAAGAACGGTAGCAGCCCTAGGAAGAGCCATATCATAACATTCGCGATGTTCAGGAGCACCATCTTCAGGGCACAGTAGTGAAAGTCAAAGTCCTTGAACAGGTAGACGAGCCCCGCAAATGCGTAGGCCAGATTCATGACGATCAGGAAACAAACGGGTATGGAGACGTGTTGGTTCACGCGCTCGAGCAGCTTGCGGAACTCCAGGATCTCGCGCATCCAGTCCAGCGAATCTATAGAGTGCATCAGCAGCTTGTGCGACAGCGTCTCCAGATGCACGCGCAGCAAATAGCATTCAATGTAGTAGCTGCTCAGCACAATGATCTCCACTAGATCCTGCAGCAAAATGGTGCTCAGCAGACCGAGGCGCAGCCAGAGCTCCCAGTCGCGCAGCGCCTCGGCCAGCCAGTCCACCTTGATTATATGCGATTGCTGCATGAACACCACGCAGCAGGCGTAGCCAAAGAGCAGCAGCAGCAGAGCCAGAGCCACGCCTAAATAGAGCCAGAGCATGCGGCAGAGTCGCTTGGGCTTGGCGGACAGCAGGAACACGCGCTCGATGAGATTCTGAAGTTGCTCGTGCTCGATCACCTTGCATACGAGCACCGCTGAAACGAAGCTCAGCAGGTTGAGAGCACTGGGCACTACATAGCCGAAGAGTAACTCCCCAATTGTGTTGGGCGTGCTGCTGGCAGAGGCGGAGCCGCAGACGTCGCTTCCGTTGCTGTAGCCGCCGGGTCGGATGTCCCGGTAGCTGCTAAAGCCGCGATCCCCACTGTAAGGATATTTTGTTAGCACTGACACAGATCTCTCACATGAAGCACTCACCGATAGCCACACAGGTAGCGCAGCACGTAGCCCGCCAGGAGGACAAAAAAAACCATCAGGGCCTGGACGTAGCTGCTGCAGGCGCCCACAGTGCTCATGTCCGTAGAAATGGGATTGAGCCCAACCATGGTCAGGATGGCCACATAAGGGCGCAGGAACTGCAATGTTAGAATTACCTTAATTAGATACAGTTATAATAAACCTTTGAAATATTAGCGTGTTTGGCTGATAAACTCTAATAGAGCCTTTATATTCTCCATCAATATCAACTTTATTAAATCGGGTGTCTATAACCATTTGGCAGTTAGATCTCTCAGCACCTGCAAGCAGGCGTTACCGACTACAGAGTAAGTATTGCGATTGAGGGGTATACATACATGTTAAACAGACGGATAGACAAAATCAATAAACTCATCTCAGTTTCGTGAATGAGTATAAAAATTTTGTAAATGCTAGAATTTATATATATATATATATATATATATATATATATATATA